CTGTATTTTTCCTTTTTTTATATCTAGATGGAAGAAATTTCAAGGGGTTTATCTCTCAACATCAGACCCCCGTTTACGGCCTCGATCATCAGACTATGTAACTAGTGTTTGCGAGGGAAGGTTTTCATATCACAAGATTGTTAAATGATATTCAATTATAGCACAAAACACTCTGAGGTGGAAAAACTTGCACTACCGAGTACTTAGTGCGACATTAAACACCGAAACCAAATCCCAACCTAATCCAGAACAAAGTGAAGGCTATAGTTACGAAAGAGAATTTTTTGACCCAAAAAACTTTTATGAGGGTGATGTAAATATCTCCTAGTACCATTAACAAGATGAAATAGAATTTGAAGCTGATTTAATCCCGTACTTACCGGTATAGTGTTCATCACGGTTCTTGCCCAGCCTGCTTTTAACCAAGTACCTTTGAAAGTATGCGGATCCTTTATAAGTAGTTCCTTAGACTCACTTGTTCGAACAGCTAAATCGAGATCTATGATGGTGCTCACGGGGAAGTTGGGGACCAGCCAGCCAAACCATTTAGCTACGAAACGCTATGATAACGAACAACATTTTGGAATTATCCAATTATGACAGCATATTAGAGCACTTAAAATCTAGCCTCATTGTTTCAACTTCACTGTCTAGTCTTAAAATCATGGTTTATTTGTGACCATTAAAAATATCTGAAATGTTTAATTACTCATATCATTGGAAATGGAATTTTCAACATGAGCGGCACGTTAGGGTGGATAAAAGGTTAAGTCAGAGGCTCATAGGTTTTAGGTATATATAACCGTTGACACCAGGTGGTGAGCAACCAGTCAGTAGCACCCGCCACCACAAGGACTTTGTCTGGCTCATTGTGCGGAATAACGGGTATGACTATTAACTTACAACGCGACACAGCTAAAAGTGTCAAACGCGCTCAACGACATCACATGTCGAAAGTTGGACCTTTCGATACGCAGCCCGGTACGTCAATAACCAGGCCAGCTTCACTTTATATTTATCAAAACAAATAATTGATATTAATTTGGACTTCTTTATATTTATTGATGAAAGCCATCATCGGGCTGAAACTAAGTCAGTAGGTATGAATACCTTTAAAGTATGGATACTTATTCCGGATGAGAGACAGGACAATAATATTACACGATTTGCAACAAACTTCTGTTTAATAAATTTATAATTCTATCTTTTGACCAACGACACCTACATAATATGTTTTTTAGTTGCATGCACTAAAAATTATCACTGCTCACCATCTTTTGTTTGTTTCAGAATCTTCTACGCAAAGCTACAAACTGGGCTATCTGCGCAAAGTCGTCTTTAAGTTGGTAGCCAACAGCGCCTACCGCCAACCCTTGGGTTACTCTTATCTGACGAACAGTTGGATTTTACCGTCACTCTTTTGTATTAAAAATTGGGAGAACGTTTTTTGCAGCAACAGTCGCGAACCACGTTTCATTACCTTAAATGGTGTGGCACCCTCGGGGTTCCAGGTGACACCTCCTGATACCACCACAATACCTTTCAGCTCACGTGGCTTCTTCAGTGACGCTAAGATCGAGATCACTCCACCCTGTCCGAGAGAAACGATCCCGATAAACACAGTGATTAGAAAAACGATCCCGGTAAACACAGTAATTTTATAGCATAAATTTTCCAACCTTTTCCAAGCCATACAAAAAAAAATGATGAAAAATAAGATAAACAAAAGGAAAGCTATACATGAAACTCACATCTGGAGCAGTTTTGTTCCGTTAATTCAATACACGTCTTACTAAATGTAACGTTTCTATCATCAATGAGAACCTTATGACAGTGATGGTGAACAGTTAGGAACTCCAGAGAGCTTGCAGTTGCAAATCTGAAGCCTGTGTTGAATCAACGGAATAAAACACACATTTTATTAAGTTTAACATTCTGTGTGATAATAACCCAAATCTCAAGTTCTATCAACCTTATGTTCTATATGGTAAGATAAATGTAATAAAAGCTCCTGTTCTATCAACCTTATGTTCTATATGGTAAGGTAAAGGTAATAAAAGCTCCTGTTCTATCAACCTTATGTTCTACATGGTAAGGTAAAGGTAATAAAAGCTCCTGTTCTATCAATCTTATGTTCTATATGGTAAGGTAAAGGTAATAAAGCTCCTATTCTATCAACCTTATATTCTATATGGTAAGGTAAAGGTAATAAAGCTCCTGTTCTATGAACCTTATGTTCTATATGGTAAGGTAAAGGTAATAAAGCTCCTGTTCTATCAACCTTATGTTCTATATGGTAAGGTAAAGGTAATAAAGCTCCTGTTCTATCAACCTTATGTTCTATATGGTAAGGTA